TTACAATCTTAACAATACCGAATATAGCCGTTTTATTGGGGTCTATACGAAGACGTGGACCTGCATATGCAAATTTTATCATAAGCCATTACAATTTTGAAATACAAAACATGAAAATATCCGGTGAATAATGTAGGCCTGGACCCGCATAGACAATTTTCTGTCGAAGACTGTGGGAACCCAATTCCAGTGAAAAATGACGCTAAAATCATCAAAATAACCAATATTGGAAGGTACTGTTATATGGGGGCTATACGGAGACGTGGACCTGCATAAGCAATTTTTTGTCATAGGACAAAATAGGACATAGGAAATTTAAAACAACTCCGGTGAATAACGCCCCTAAAATCGTCAAATATCGAGGGGCACCGTTGTATGTGAGCTATACGATATCGTGGACCTATATAGACAATACTCTTCCAGGGGGTAAAACAGATTGAAAGAACTTCTAGTATGGATTTTTAGACATCCATAGAAAAATGTTGCTAAAATCATCAAAATACCGAATATAGGGTGGTACCGTAATATTGGGGATATAGGATACCGTGTACCTATATAGACAATAATCTTCCAGAGGATGAAGTACTCAGAAAGAAATCTTTATGTGGATTTTCAAACAATTCCATCGGAAAATGTGGATAAAATCATTAAAATACCGAATATCGGGGGGTACCGTTGTATGGGGACTATACGATATCGTGGACCTGTATAGAAAATTCTCTTTCAGGAAGTAAAGTACTTGCAAGGAACTCCTTGTGTTTAGTTTAAGACAATTCCATTAAAAAATGTGGATACGGTTGTTGGAGGCTATACGATTTCATGGACCGATATAGCCCATCTTCGAACTTGACCTGCCTGGAGACAATAGACTGATCTGTGCAAAATTTTAGCTTCCTATCTTTATTCGTTTTGACTCTAGCGTTATTACAACAGACGGGCAGACGGACGTACAGACAATGGCTAAATCGTATTGGAATCAAGAATATATATCTTTTGTTATGCCTAAAATTATTATTTCGATAAGCTACAAACGGAATGACGAACTTAATGTACCCTCCTTAATATGTATGGTGGAGGGTATAAAAAACCCTAACTTTATGTCTCCGTCAGCCGATGGTTAACAAGGGAACATTATTCTCACATAAACTTAATATCTTTCTGTCTCTCTCTCTCTCTCTCTCTTTCAATTTTTGGACTGCTATTGTAGTGATATACTTGAATTCACGTGATGCTAATTTTCCAGGATCAGACATTTCTAGTCTCCATTTACCTTGGTTTAATATTCAGATTACAAACTTTGTTCTGAGTCATTGAATATCTCCGACTATCATCCTTCGCAAATGCCATTGACCGAAGAAAAATCCAGCAAGAAAATTGATTGAATATCATCGACATGAAAGCGAAGTTCAATTGAAAATTGTCAATTATTGAACTATTATTGACTGTAAATAATATATCTTTGTCAACTATCCGATCATCAATGGCATTCCCCATAGACTGTCATCGGTAGAGGAGTTCTAGTTCTAGTTGTCCACAACAACGCCAAAGAAATCCAGGGCACAATAAACGAAGTAACATGCAAAATTGATTGATGAAGTCCCCGCGATACAATTCTTTAAGTGGAATGTTGGCAGAATGTCAATATTGATAAAGAAACATACATACGCACTCACTCATTCGCCTGAAGTGCGTCAACATTCCGAGTAAAAGTTAAATGAAATCACAGACTTTAAAAAAAGACAACAATAAGAATTGTGGAAAACTATACGTTCGCCATACGCACTTTAATGGACAACAAGTAGATAATAAATTGTTTAAATAATGTAAAAAAGAATAAGAAGAACGACAACAATAACAACAGCCACAAATGTGGGGCAATCGTTTTGCAATCATTGTTCAATTGCATCTGATAAGAATGAAAGAAGCGTTGTGGTTTCGCTACACGCGCAAAACTGCTTGTAATTTATATACCCTTCTCCATACTAAGGGGGTATATTAAATTCGCCATTCTGTTTGTAACACCTCAAAGAGTTCGTCGGAGTAGCCATAAAGTACATACCGGTCCAGTTCAGAGAAAAAAGTGATCTGGTCGAAGAAGACGTATACAATGTCTTTGGAATCCTTAAAAAAATGTATTCCAGTGAACATAAGAGACACTTTAGAGGTCTTCTAATAATAAACGAGGTCTACTGACTCTTAAGTTTCCTGCTCTTAGAAGACCTATAAAACGTCTTTTGACCTTTGAAGACCATTGCAAGGTTCTCTGTCCCTAGTAAACCTTTTCAAGTTCTTACGATCCCAGAACATATTTGCGAAGACCTCTACAAGGTCTTCATACCTTTTGAAGTTCTATTGAACTTTCTTAGGACTTCGCCACTGGAAGGTTCGTTAAAGACCTGTCTGCGTATTGGAGACCCTAAAAACGCTTTCTGGCACGGAGTATCCTTACTGGGTATTAATACCCTTAAAGTGTGCTTCTAGAAAATCTCGGACCTAATTCTGAAGATCTTAAACGAAGGATATTGGTCCCAGAAGACCGTTTAAGTTTATTGAAGACCTTTAGAAGTTGTTCTGCTTCTAGGAGATTTCAGAGATCATTTGGTCTCAAAACGACTTTTGCAATGCCTTCTGAGCATGGAAGGCCCCTACAAAGTCCCATATAAGATCTTCCGATCCTAAAGAGTAGGTAAAAGGTCTTCTGCCTATCTTCTGTCTCTGGAAAGCCTTTGCGTCGTCTTTTGAACCTAAAGGATCTGCACAAGGCTTCCTGGTTTTAATAGACTTCCGAAATGACGGCTTGAATTCGAGTAGAGAGTACTACCGCAAGTAAAAAAGCTGTAAGTTTGGCCAGGCCGACCTTTGAATACTCTCCACCATTTGAAACGATTTTGGCAATTTTCAAAAAAAATAAAATCCGTTAAATATTCTGTTAAAATCTTAAAAATACAGAATGTAGCCGTTATATTAGGTTCCATACGACGACGTGGACCTGCATAGGCAACTTTTGTCATATTCAAATACGAAACTAATTCATATTCAAATACGAAAAAAATAGGTGAATAAGGTATCTAAAATAAATATTGGGGCTATACTAAGACGTGGGCCTGCTCAGACAATTTTCTGTCCCAGGCTGTAGTATCCATTACGAACTTTAAATACCAAATTTGAAACAATTCCGGTAAAATGACCAAAATACAAAATATCGAGAGGTACCGTTATATGGGGACTATACAAAGACGTGGACCTGCACAGAAAATTTTCTGTCTAGGCTGTAGTAGCCATTACGAACTTCAAATACCAAATTTGAAATAATTCCGGCAAAAAATCTCGCTAAAATCATTAAAATACCGAATATCGGGAGGTACCGTTATATGGGGGCTCTACGAAGACGTGGACCTGCACAGGCAATTTTCTGTTTTAGGCTGTAGTAATTATTACGAACTTCAAATACCAAATTTGAAACAATTCCGGTGAATAATGTCTCTAATATCATCAAAGTACCGTTATATGGGGGCTCTACGAAGACGTAAACCTGCACAGACAATTTTCTGTCATAGGTTGTAGTATTCATTACGAATTTCAAATACCAAATTTGAAACAATTCTGGTGAAAAAATGTCCATAAAATCATTAAAATACCGAATATCGGGAGGTACCGCTATATGGGGGCTCTACGAAGACGGGGACCTCACAGACAATTTTCTGTCTTAGGCTGTAGTATCCATTATGGACTTCAAATACTAAATTTGAAACAATTCCGGTGAATAATGTCGCTAAAATCATCAAAATGTCGAATATCGGAAAGTACCGTTATATGTGGGCTATACCAAAAGGTGGACCTACATGGCCCATTTTCAATACCAAAAGTCCTGCAGACATAACATACATTTGAGTAAAATTTTATGAATCTAATTTACTTCGTTCGGAAGCTAGAGTGATTCCCACAGACGGACGGACATCGCTAAATCGACATAGAATTTTGTGCTTTGTGGGGTCTAAAATGTGTATTTCGAGGTGTTACAAATGGAATGACAAAGTTTATATAACCTCCATACTATGGTGGAGGGTAAAATTACTTTTGAAATCATATCGGTTGTTCCCTCTACAGACGAGCTTAACTTTTCATCTCTCTCTTAAATGTTGACCTCTTCCACTTTTCTGCCTCTCTTTCTCTTTCATTACAGTCAATGATCGATCCAACCACCTTGCAAACAAACAATTTGTTGCAACATTTTGCAACACAAATATTGAATTTGTCAACAAAGCAACCTTATTCAATTATCGACGACATGTGGCCCCAAACTGCAACCCCCTCCTCCTTCCCTCTTTCCTAGCAATGTCAAATAGAATATTTTTGAAAATAATCATCAACCGAAGCGATTAGATAATCGTATGGCGAAGGCGCTTCGTCGTATGAGTAGAATCGATTGATCGATTCCAAATATTGACTCAGATATTATTCAAATATTTATTGAAGGCAAACAATAAAAACAGACGAAGTTTATGAATCTCAAGGAAGCCATCGGGTAATTAATGATTGTTAAGTAAATATGGGCGAAATTACTGGAGGAGGTAGTTCTCAGATAAGCACCTTGGCGATTGACATGTGCTATCGCCCATGTTTGATGAACTTTGAAATTTGTTGATATATGAGTGCTTGAGATATCGGGGGGGGGGGGGGGGGGGGGGGGTTGTTTGTGAATGGAAATTTGTAGATCTCAAAGACCTAATGGCATGTGGTCTGCTGGGAGGTAATTGGGGCTTGTAGAACAGTCTTAGAATTTAAGGTTTTAAAAAATTTCTTGATATCTGGAGGTATATCTATTTGCAGATATATTTTTTGAGTTAATGTTAATTTACAAAAATATAAGGGTTAAATAATTAATTAATTAATTCTATAATAACTATAGAATGACTCCTTGAAAAGTCCTGCATTAAACAATTTATTATTTAAATGAATTTATTAATAATTTTCATTTCCTTTCTTCTCCGTTCTTCCAGTTGCTGCAACAAATTAGCGGAAAAACTAAAAATGAAGACTGATACTTTGGATAAAATCTGTGTCTTCCTGGCCGAACTCTTGGGCACTGCCATGCTGGTCTTTTTAGGCTGTATGGGTTGTGTCAGCACCGACGTTTTCCACAACAACCATTTGCAAATGTGTTTGAATTTCGGTCTGGTTGTCATGGTCGTAATTCAATGTTTCGGTTGTGTATCCGGTTCACATTTGAATCCAACCGTTACCATTGCTGCCTATGTTTATGAAATGATTTCGGCACCCATGGCCATTGTCTATTTCTGTGGTCAAATGTTGGGCGGTTTCATTGGTTATGGTCTGTTGAAGGTTGTGTTGCCCGACAGTGTCATCAATACCCCCTCGACTGGTTTGTGTGTAACTTTGCCTCATCCCGAGATCACTGCCGGCCAGGGTTGCATTATTGAATTCATTATTACCGCCATTTTGATTTTGGTTTGCTGTGGTGTCTGGGATCCTCGCAATGCCAAATTCCATGATTCCGTACCAATTCGTTTCGGTTTGGCCATTGCCTGTTTGGCCATCACTGCTGTAAGTATTGCGGATTTTTCCCCGGGATTTTTCAACATAACTCATTGGTCTATTCCTCCCATAGGGTCCCTTCACCGGTGCCAGCATGAACCCCGCCCGTTCCTTTGGCCCCGCCTTGTGGCACAACAACTTCACCATGCACTGGGTATACTGGGTTGGTCCCATGTCGGCTGCCGTCATTGCTGCCTTCGGCTACAAGATTGTGTTCAGACGTGAAGTCAAAGAAGAAGCCGTCCACCACAAGTTGCGCAACTTGGAGGATGTACCCTTGTCATAAATCCATTGCTCCCTCCATTGCTCATCAGGACTTCTTAGGGCAATTCTACGAAGAATTTCCCCAAAAAGAATGCCATTTTGCCATATGATACAAGATTGTCGTCTAAGTTATATCATTTAAGCGGATGTTAACACCAAATATAGAATTTATTTTCTCCCCCTTCTTTTTTCGTAAAATTTGTCTTCTATTACCGAGTAATAAAAGTTCAAGCTATTCTGTTTAGTTTAGATCAAATGGACACACAAACATACACATAAATATTTATATTAAGTTAAATTTAAAACAAAAAAATCAAGTGCCTCCGTTTCTTTTTTTTTAGAGTCAATTAACTTTGAATAAAATATTTTTTTAAAAAAACGTATCCTCGAATGTGTTGTGTTGAAGGCACACGCGGAGAAATTGACAAGAATTTTTTTATTTGTAAATGCATTTACATTTGTTGAATTTTAATAATAAATTAATTTTTAAAAAAAATATGTTGCAGAAAAGTTTTTTAATTATATTCTCTTAGTTAAATGGAAAACACATTATGATCGCATTATTTTTAAACAGGGTTGCCCATATTCGACGGACCCATCTGGCAACGCCATAACTTTTGACAGAGATGTCACATCGCTTAATGACATACCGCGTTTGAAGCGTCAGTCCAAGCAGATTTTTACCATGAACCAATACACGCCACGCGAGCGCTCTGAAATAGTTGAAATTTACATTCAACAGAAGAAGTCAATTGTGAAAAAAAATGTGAGAAGTGCGCCTTCTAGGAACACCATTATGCATTTATACGAAAAATTTTCGACTGGTATGGCTCTTTCTAATCCGAAGAGGCCATATAAAAGTCGACCAAGGCGATCGGCCGAGAATATCGCTACCGTACGAGCCAGTGTTGAGAGGTCCCCAAGAACAACCCAAAAACGCCGTTCTCTGCAGTTGGGCATGGCTCGGTCCACTTTACAACGGATTATTCGCATTGATTTGCATTTGTTCCCGTACAAAATTCAATTGACGCAAAGAATGTTGCCTGCGGTCATGCGTCGTCGATTGGAATGGGCCCAAAGGTCCGTCGAATGTGGGCAACCCTGTAAAATATTTGGGATAAAAAGGGTTAGGAAATGGGGAAAGGACTCCTTAAAGCTGAAAAAATTACAACTTAGTCTGTGTGAATTGCCCTTAGAAAAACCAGTTAAAAAGAATCAGTCGGTTTTGCCGACAGATGTATATCCTCAGTCAATGTTCGATTGCCTAAATATATTTTGACTTCTGTTAAGAGAATTCAAACTGTTGACCCTCTATGGTGTACATTTCGAAGGAATAGGCCAATATTAATAATTTGGTATATTGTTCACATGTTATTTGCAACACCAATATGGTAAAAATATTGCGACGTGCCAGGTTTGGATTACTGATAGATTAGAAAATGTTAAAATGTGTGTGACGTTCCATATACAGGGTGAGATAAAAAACACTGCAAAAAAGTCAAACGCCATAATTTTTACATTTTTATACCCTACACCACAATGTGGTTAGGGTATTATAGAGATAGACCCATAGTTCCTTTTGATGATCTGCATATTGCATGCATTCTGCATTCTGAGTCGATTTATGCATGTCCGTCCGTTGTCCGTCTGTCTATGTATTTTTGTAAGCAAAGTACAGTTCGCATTTATTGCCCTATCCAGATAAAATTTTGCACAAATCATTTGTTTGGCCCAAGGACGAACCCTATTGAAATAGAGAGCGATAATCGGTCAAAATATAGATATAGCTCCCATATATATCTTCGTTCGATTTGCTTTTTATTGTGCACCAAACGTGTAATATCAGCCCGAATAGTTTTGAATTTTGCACATACAACCAAATTAGGCCTTAAAATAAGTATGCCAAATTTGACCGAAATCGGTTCAGATATAGCTAAAGCTCCCATATATATTGTTCATCCGATTTGTTATTTTTGTCCTCCGCATAATTAATATGCACTCTGTAACAATCATATTTGGGGAAATGTATCAAATACAGGTCAGAAATACATTTGCCAAATTTTATTGAAATCGGTTCAGATTTGGATATATGTATGTAACTTCATCCGATTTACTTTTTATTGTACACAAAATATTTGTCCAAATGTGATGGAATTTGGCACTTACGACCGAATTGAGTCTAGAAGCTAGTATGTCAAATTTGGTGAAGATCGGTTCAGATATAGCTATAGCTCTCATATATACTGTTCATACGATTTGTTATAATTGTTACCCACAGCCGTAATATACACTCCGTAACAACGATATTCAGGGAAATATATCAAATACAGCTCAGAAATATATTTGCTAAATTTGATCGAGATCGGTTCCGATTTGAATATAGCTCCCATATATATCTTTATCCGATCTCAAATTAATTGAGCACCAAATGGGCAATACAAGTCCGAATTTAAATGATACAAATGCTTCGGCATATTTAGTACTTTGAATTTTAAATTATAATTATAATCATAGCGTGTATGATTGAATTCTCCTATAAAAACTTTTAATTGTTATGCGGAGCTCTACTAAATTTGTAAAGTGGTGTAGGGTATCATAATATCGACCCCGCCCGACTTTAAGACTTTCTTTACTGTTTTTTTAATATTATTGAACGAAAGCAAAAATGTCGAAAATATAATCAAATTTCAGAATAAGTTTAGATTTGTTCGCATTGGTCGCCTTTGGCGCGAATTCTGGCTTTCAAACGGCCAATGAAACCGTCACACGCTGCCGAATGTTGTTCTTCGCTCGCTTGCTTGAGGTGATCGACACTTTGTTATTTTTTAGTGCCAACCTTGCTTTCCAAAATACTCCAGACACAATAGTCCAACGGATTGGTATCCGGCAAATTTTGGTGGCCATTGTGCGCTGGAAAGGAAGCGAGAAACCTCATTTTGTAACCATTCTTGGGTGGCGCATGCTGAGTGCGATGGTGCTGAGTCCGGATGGAATGTCCAAGGTCTGCGGCCAAAATGTTTGCGTGCCCAAGGCTTTAATACATCCTTCAGAATATTTTCGAGATAATATTCGGCATTTATTCTAATGTCATGGCCGATTAATACGAGTGGAGAGGAACCATCGGCTGTTATTACGGCCCTCGCCATCACCATGACCGGCACTTGAGTTCTGATGGTCAACCGAAGGTACACTTTTTTAGCTGACCTCTTTGGTAAGTAAACACGATCATTTTTTTGTGTTTACAAACTGCTGGACAACGAATGTTTTCTCATCGGAGAGAACCAAATTCGGCAGTTCACCACTTTCGACCAAGCGAAGCAAATCTTTAGCTCTTTTGAGTCTACTTTCTTTCTGTTGCGGTGTTAGTTCTGGCACTTTTTGGAATTTCAATGGATTTACCCCGAGCTTATTTTTCAATATTTGCCGATTGGAATATTGCAATATTTTCAGCTAACGAGCCAATTTTCGACCACTGCGACGAGGGTTTCGATCAAGTCGCTTCTTTACTCTTCGAACCATTTCTGCTGATGTTGCTGTTTTCTTCTGTCCACTTCCTTGACGTCGAGCTACGCTACCAGTTTCACGGTAACGAGGGATTGTACGAGACATAAACGATTTATTCACATTTAAATGCTGGAGTGCTCCATCGATAGTCACTTGTGGTTTTCCAGCCAAATATAAAGATATCACACTTGAATTCCATCACGAATAACTTTTTTTCTGGAAAATTCTCTCCAAAATGCTTTTGTACGCTTGTAACAATATAATGAGCTGACACTGGAACTTTTTTAACAGCTGTGAGGGCATTTTGTTTTTCAAAATTTTGAACCCTATGTGGGAAGCTACTAGAAGAAATGCTTCGATCTCTACCATCTTTATGACAGATTTTGTGTTGATAGAAGTTTTGAGATACATCGGGTCGGATGTTAATTTCACGTTTTATGAGCTTCATGGATATTTGAAATTTTGACCCTTTGTGGGGGAGGTACCAGAAAATGTGGACCGATGTATCCCATCTATACAGCAGATCTTGTGTTACTAGAAATAAAGAAATATGTGAAATATGACGAAAGCCGAATGTTTATGTCGGATTTTATAATCGTGTTGGTTATTAAAAACTTTGATCCATTGTGGGGGAGGTATCAGCAGGACCGGTTATATCTCTACCATCTTTATAATAGATAATGTGCTGAAGGAAATATTGAGATGTAACAAGTCTGAATGGAATCGGATCTTAGTTTCACGTTTTATGAGCTTCATGGGTATTTAAAATGTTGACCCTTTGTGGGGGAGGTAACAGAAGGAGTGGACCGATATATCCCATCTTTGTGAAATTTGAAAAGAACCGGATTCATATTTCGGATTCTATAATCGTTTTTGTCATTCAAAATGTTGGCCCTTTGTGGGGCACTGTTGCAAATATTAGGATTTGTTAGAGTAAAATCGGATCATCCTTTCTCTCTCTGTGATGTAAAATATTTTTCGTGGAGGATGTACCAGAAGGAGTAGACCGATATTTGCCCATATCCGAACTCGATCTAAGTTTGAAATTAATATTACGATGTACCAAGTTTGGATCAAATCGGATACTCTCTTCCCACCAGTCAGCCAGACAGAAAGACGGACGGACGGACGGACATCGCTAGATCGACTTGATCTGAAATGGATTTGGTTCAAAGAGACCTATTGTCCAAAATCGTTATTTCGATGAGGCATGTTTTGACGGTATATATACTCTCTCTAGCCATATAACTGATGGTAAAAAAATATTTATCGGAACAATAGATATATCGAACCGAGTTTCACTAAATGGAAAAATTTGGTTGAATATTAAAAATTCTATCCAATTTGGGCTGATATTACATATAGGTGTTGTGGACAATAACCGTAAAATCGATGTATATCGAAGGTATATAAAAATCTGAACCGATCTCGATAAAATTTGTTAGAGGAACTTAAATATCAATTGTCGGAATTGCCAAGATTCAGTTTATTTGGGCTGATGCTAGCCATTTGGTGCACAATAAACCTGATATCGGATAAAAATATATATAGGAGCTTTGTCCAAATTCTTCTTCTGAGGTGTATCTAGTTTCAAATATGATTATTGTGGAGTGCATGTTACGCATATGAGGGACTTAAAACACCAAATCGGATAATATATATGGGAGCTATAGCTATATCTGAACCGATTTTCAAATTTGATTTTCTTGCTTCTAGACTGAAGTCGGTCGGATGTGCCAAAATTCTGGTCATTTGGACTGAGATTGGCCATT